ATTATTAAAAAAATCTTATTATTTACATAGATAAATGAAACTAAACGTCATTTTAATCAGGGGGACTGAGCTCGTTTGTCAACCTTATACACCATAAAAAAACAATAACGAGACCACGGCGACGGTAGTCCACAGTTGGCTCCTTCTTATAGAGTTCCCAACATTCCCGCCCATCGAGGGATATACGAACCACACAATACTTTTAAGCAATGCATGCCTTTGTATACATTTTTGTAAACGTTTAGTCCAGAAGTAGATCCAAAAAATCGATGGCATTAATGACGGTTATGCGGTAAAGAGATACAGAGAAATAAAATAGAAATAGATGTCGAAAACCAACAACCGTATTCATATCCCGGACCTAACTTAAAATCAACACGGTGATGACTAAAACGGGGTCGTCACAGTAACGTTTAATGCACGCTACTGATATAAATCACCACTTTACACACAAAGAGGTTTTCGGAAGTGTTACGTTGTCATATGACAGACACACTTGCGCACCGGAAGCGGTACTATTTATGTTAAATTGAGTTCCGTTTTGTTGGCCAAGTGGGCTATTTATAAATGTAATTATCGATTAACGCGTGAGTCACTTTTAACTTACTGTAAAATGCAAAAAAAAGAAGTTAGGTATCCAACTTACAATCGCATGACGTAATGATTATAGTACTTGGTAACAACGACGTTGACCATGGGATACTTATCATCCCATAGTACTATCTTGGAATACCCTATAAACAATTATTATTGTGTATCTTTATAAATTTTATTGCATTTTCCGTGGTAGAGCCATGCTGCGGCTAAATTATAGTGTAGCACGAATGGGTCGGTTCGGCCGGGGAGGACCACGCTCTCACATAATATAGCGTAAAATAGCTGCTATGTTTCGTATGGTGAGTGTATAAAACCAGAGACCCTTTTTTACTGAAAACGGGACATTCCATCTTAGTCCTCAGGGGTGACTAAAATGCATCTGCATTTTGATTCTTAATCGAGGTTAGATGTAAATTTCTATGGGCTACAGCACCCACTTATCATCAGGTGGGCTGTGTGCTCGTTTGTCACCCTTATAGTACTAAAAAATCGGGTTCTTAGTTCAAGGATGTGCAGATTCTGTTTCTAAAAGGACAAAATACCTCTGCACTGTCGAACTGCTTATGGAATCTTAATACGCAAACATAGTATACATCTAAGTTAACTACGTTTTCCACTTGATTAAAACTACTTGCGTTTTGACGTCAGGTATTAGAAATAAAATAAATAAAACGCGATAAAATCCGTAAAAGTAGTTTTAATCAATGTATAGTGTTCGCGTAAATATAAGAAATCATTACGTTTTCCAAGTTAGATAAAAGCAGTTTCTGTAATTCATTAAAAGAGAAGCTATGCATTGAACTACAGCCATGAAAACGCCTCCAAGGGCTAGTGGTTATGAGAGTGACTGCAGATCATGTACTTCTGGGTTCGGATCGCGGGTCGGATGTAATTGGGTTTTCTGTTATGAAATTCTTAATAGCAAGCTGGAATCAATCAATAAAAAGGTAATTCAACTGATTCAACTCACCTGGGTAGCGTTCGGGAGATTACGACACATCTTCTCGTCAGGCATATCTTAAAACTTCAAAACAAGATTGTACACCCATTGCGTGTTGCCAGTGATGACCTATGGATCTGAGAAGTGGTTCTTCACTGTTGGTCGTATGGGGAAGTTCAAGGTCGCTTAGTGAGTTATAGAAAGAGCTATGCTCGAGGTTAGACTTAAAAACGAGGATATCTGCAGTAGAACCTGATAAACCGGCCATACAGCTCGAAGATCGATAACCGATGGAGAAGAAAGGTTCTCGAGCCGCATTGCCGGCAGGCGTAGTGTCGAGCGTCCCCTCCACTAGAAGGAGTGACGACCTGGTAATGTAGCAAGTCGATGGGTGCAGGTTGCTCAGGACCGTGGCGTTCCTTGGGGAATGCATACGTTCAACAGTGGACTTGTGAAGGGCTATAATGATGATGATGACGAATAACGTGCATATGTGTAGGACTTTAGGACGATTCTATCACGGAATGGTGTGGATCGTTGAGGGACTACGAGATTTGCTGTGTTCTTTTTTTAAATGGATGCCTTTAGTATCCAAAGATGGCCTTTTATTAGGAAATGGTTAGCCAACCGTCACCGTTGAATAAATACTATGAGAAATTCAGGAAAAACTTAATGACTCTCTTTTCTTCAAAGTTTATGCTTCTCATGTGGTCCCATATAGATTCGATTAAGATCTGACCAGCAGTTTTTGAATTATCCATAATAATGCTTATTTAATTGACTTCGACTACATTGATGATGTTTTCATTTTATTTATATTGAAGTGGATTGTACATCGAAACGTCGGGAATTAAAAATAAAAATAATTAAAAGTAAAATTAAACGCGATAAAATCCGTAAAAGTAGTTTTAATCAATGTGTAGTGTTCGCGTAAATATAAGAAATCATTATGGATTGTACATTTTTTTTTAATTTTAACACTTCTTATTGCCATGCTTGGCAGTCAAATTGGCGATCACAATAACAGGCATCTTGTATCTTTGACGTTATTCCTCGTCACTGCTCTAAGCGTTTTACGTCTTGCCATGAAAAGCCGAGAGATACTTTTGGTGAGTTATTTTACACCGCTACCACAGGGTTATTTAGTCATATTTTTTATTTCTTCGCTTAGAAATTCTTAATTTTTTAAGCTTAACCTACATCAGAAATTTTTGATAGCGCTTCAATAGTACTCGTAAATAGGCCTTTTCCATATATCAATATTACAACCCTTCGTATGTTCACTGCTAAACTTAGATGTTTTTTGATAACTATCATAAAGCACGGTCCTGAGCTACCTGCACTATCGGCTTACTGCATGTCTTTCCGGGTCTACACTCCATATAGTGGGAGGCCGCCCTGAACTTTGCTTACCGGAAATTATTATACTAGCCAAACCACAACGCTTGTAGTTTATTGTATAGTAAAAATTGGATAAACCACCATTTGGTCAAAATAATTGATCGTTTTACTCGAGCCACTAATGCGTGAAATTCTATTATTCACCAGGTGCTTATGTTAGTTGTGATGATTGTTAGGGATCAAAATTAATACTAAAATTGTTGTTCATGGTTTGTGGTTTGTATAACGTCAAGAAATATTTGTCTATTGGCTCTAAAGGTAATTTATTCTATTTCCTGAGAAGAAATGTTTCCTTGTTTCCAAATTTCGGAAAAATTTGTACTCGCTTGAGGTTAGGTCTGGCAAATATGGAGGATGACGTGTGATTTCCAGCTGCATGTCTTGTAATTTTAAAACGTGATAATAACAACATTAATTTAAAACATTATAAGGGTAATATCCAACGTAAAACCATGACGGTAATTCCTCGGTGGTTTGTTAAGGATCGGCTTCCAACAAAATTTTTAATTTAATGTTATTTACATTAGTGTCTATTCTTCTTCATTGTCCGTTCTTCATGTCGAAGTTTCCGCTACGAAAGAGATAATTTGTGAGATCTCAATGTTTAGCTCAAATACTGGATGTATAACAATGAAATTCAAAATCGACATTATCATGTCATCTATTATTATTTATTGACACATCACATTAATAGCCTTGTGCAGTACACAGGTAAACATAGGCATTACCAAGAATGCATCCGCTGGAAGGATTGGTACTCACTAAACTGTACAGGCAGGTTGGTGAGCGGAGAGTTGATACCCCCGCACTGATGATGCTATAACCTTTCACCAGTCTGTCAAGTATGGGTTTAACATTATTTTGTCGCCAGAGACTACAACGTAAATAGGGAGAGTGCTCTGCGTGCGTGCGATAGATTTAATAATAAATGTTAAAAAGAGTTCCTCTATTTCAAAATCCATTTAAAAGTCATCAATTTTTAATTAAAAAAGTTAAAATTAAAGTTACAGCCTATATACATCCCACTGCTGAGCACATGCCTCCCCTCATTTCTGAGAGGGTTTTAGGGCAAGGAAGTGTTGGCCACGCTGTCCCAATGCGTGTTAGTGAACTTCACATGTCTTCGAAATATCTTTACATTTTTGCTATATTACTAAACAAATTCCAAGATATATTCATCAATTTTAGGAAAATGAAATGATATGGAGAACGTGTTAAAAAATTTGTGAGAAATTTCAGGGTTATGAATATTTTTATGAATATGTTATTGTATATCCCGTAGAATTATTTGGTGGTGGTGGAAGTACTGCACGTTTTAAAAAGTGTTTTAAACATTTAGAATTAATTGCTTCTTTCTACCTTTCTTCTTTTGTTTTCTTTATCAGCCCTTGCTGAACATTAGTTCCTCTCATGGTACAAAAACTTTGTCTCAATTTGACGTTACTCCTTGTCGCAGGCCTGGGTTTTTATGATTGGTATATATACGTTGGGGAATATCTCCCAGGTCTTTACCATACACCTAATTGCCTCTTGCAACACCCACGGGACAAAATATGGGACTGGACTCCATTGCGCCACCACCAAACGGCTTGCCTTTGTGTAGCTTGTTTTTTTTATACGATAGGATGACAAACGAGCACACTCATTTACATTTACATCCATCCTCGATTACGAATCAAAATGTGGATGCGTTGTCATCCGTGAAGACTTAGGTGGCAAGCCTTGTTTCCAGTAAAAAGGGTCTCCGGTTCTCTACACTCACCATATGAAACATAGCAGCATTAAGCTACTATTTAACGCTGGTATTCTGTGAGAGCGTGGTCCCGTGGTCCTTCCCCGGTCGAGCCAACCCATTCGTGCTACAACTATAATACTAATATAACTGCAGCATGGCTCCACCGCGTAAAAACTTGTTACTAAAGTTTATCTATGTGCCAACCTTGTGCACATAATATATTTTATTAATAAGTTGTTTGCAAGTTACTATTGAAATGATTTCAATTTATTATATTCAATGATATTCAGTCTTTATTTTTATTTAATCAAAAACTTTACTTTTTAGGTGCACTGGGGCCAGTCACTGCAGCTTCATTATGAAAAAGACTCACCCACCAGCAGCTGAGTGGTCACCTGGAATAATCTACATCAAATACTCTTGTTCAGAAGGTAAAATTTTATTTTCAATGTCTATGAATACTTAAATATTATCACAGAATATTTTTCTGGTTTCTATTATTTAAGAAATGTTTCATTTTTCAATACAATTTTTTTAGATTACATATTACATAATTGATAATTGGTAATCCATGCATACTAATCATCAATTATGTGAGCGAATAGAAAATTACTGTCGACTTTTTTTGTTAAAAGATACTTATTAAGTTTTGTTTTGCACCTAGTGTAGTTGGATTCAGAGACAAAGTCTTGGAGCCAAGCTGCAGCTATATTATGGTTGTATCAAGTATGGGTTGGCTCGACTAGGCTAGGATCACGCCCTCACAGATTACCAGCGTAAAATAGCAGCATAATGCTGCTGTGTTATGTATGGTGAGTGTAGAGAACGAGAGACACTTTTTACTGGAAACCAGGTTTATGTATTATACTTAAAACACCATATTATTTTCCAGACGGGAAAAAATAGTCACGTTTTTAGTTAGTTAGTATCCTATCTTAGTCCTCAATTTATTTATCCAATATAATAAAATGTTTGTAAGCCATTGTTTGATTACAAACTATTTACATCTATTGCAATTACCTTCAACAAAGTGTTAAAAAGGGCAGAGCTAATACCTTATGGCATTCTTTATTATGTGGCTCTGACAGAACTTGAAACAGAAAAAAATGGCAGGTGCAAATTTAGGACAAAAAATAAAAAAATAGTTTTAAATACATATTCGTGCCTAAAATAAACTTTGAAAACAAACTTTGTCAGCCTCGAGCGCAATCGTAGAGTAGCCTTGCTCTCGGTATTTCATTTCGGAGATTGTACGCAGGAAGTGCATACCTTAATTCCTATATCCCCTTTTTACCATACGACAACGGGTTATTATTTCGATTATTATATCGTTTTATATAACGATTATTATGCTTATATCTATTAGAAAAGTAAGTTGATAGATGTAGTAGCTTCTTCATACTCTTAGGAAGAAAGAAATTTTTTAGACTTTTTCCTCGAGTCTGAGCTCGAATTCGCATTATACTCGATTATACGCAAGGTAATTTATATTAACACTTTTTACGTTGCTCGATTATTGAATAAGCGCATAATTCGGGTACACAAAAAACTTTTATATTTAAAAAAAAACATGTAGTGGCGGTGTAAGAATACCCACTACCCCAAATCGCCTCGTGGGTGTCATAAGAGGCCACAGAGTCCTGACAACAGCTATATACAAAAAAAACTGCGGTAGCCAACCCACCTATCACGCGTGGCAACTATGGCAAAACCTATGGACTTTTATAGGCTGTAATAGATAGATAAATTAAAAAAAGTAAAACAAACACCGTTATCGACGGTTTTATATCAATCGATCCGACCGCCATCACGTTGCGTCGCAGGACTCTGTTGCACGTGCCCGTACTGCCAAAAACTATGGCCCTTCGCTTGTTCCACGGTTTGTTAGCTGGCCCTATGTACATACTAATGCTATCTAATGAACCGTGACATCGATTCAAAGACACGATAGTTGCTTTGTTGATGTGGCACTTTGGGAATACTGCTGCGTATATAGGGAACGTGAGTATCGTTTGTTTAGAGACCCATTTTTTTGTAGGTTTATATAATATAATAAATAAATAAATAAAATCTATTATATTAAGGTACGTGAGAGTAATATGGTCACCTTAATCTTTACCGCCTTCTTGGATGTGACTGCCGTAATCTTTTTATCAACTTATGCAATTATAATTATTTATTTATTTTATTTATGCAGTTAAGTCTTTGATATTAAATCAAGTTACACTTTTTGAGCGAGGTGACCGATAAGAAAACAATTTTTTTTCTCTTATTGAATAAATGAGAAGTTAATATTGTTTAAAATATTTTTAATATCTTACAATACATGTAGGTTATTCAGGAATTTTTATCATTGAGTTAGCAGCTAATGTACACGCATACGTCTAGTCGCACGCACACAAACACCGTGCCGAAGTGGCTGCCGAACTGAAACGACGTTAGACGATGCACGGCTTTCAACGCCACACCCCGTGCCCGTCGGAGTGGGGAGCGTGAGGTTTTTTTTTTCGTTACGGAATTTCTGGATTCGGTCCCCGCGCTCAAGGCCCGCGATAGAAGCTATGCAATAGCTTAAAAACTAAGAAGAGTACAGAGCCAAAAACACAAAGTCGCATACTACAACTAATATATTAAGAAAAAAAAGCAAACAAGCTTTGGCTTTAGGAATACTACGAAAAATCAACTTAAAAAAACTAAATACACTTCGTAATACTAAAAACGACCAAAATATTTATTATAATGTCACCTGTAAAATGGCGTCGATAAAGCAGCGCCCTTTTGATTCTTTATTATTTCATTGGCAGAAGAGCTATCGTATCACATATTCATCTATGTAAGCGTGGCTGTAGTTTCCGAGTTATAATAGGGGTAGGCAGAGACCACTTCTTTCCACTTGCTACGATCCTTACATACTTGTTTCGCTTCGTCTACTTTCATTATTCCCTTCATACATACTCTACGGTTTAGGGTACTCTTAACCTGGCCTTTTTTCAAGACGTCCCTAATTTGGTCTAGAAAAGTCCGCCTAGGTCTACCCCTTCCAGCACTTCCATTCACACTCGCCTTATACACTTTTTTCGTCAATCGTTCTTCATTCATTCTCTCGATGTGGCCAAACCATCTCAGCATACCTTTCTCAATTTTTGTTACTACATATTCTTTCAGACCACAACGTTTCCTTATCTCACTATTTCTTATCCTGTCACTCAGTTTAACTCCTATCATACTTCTTAATGCTCTCATCTCAACTGCATTTATTCTACTTTCATGTTTCTTCTGCCATACCCAACTTTCACTTCCGTACATGAGTGTCGGAACCAACACCCCCCTCATGCACAGCCAAACGAGCCTTGTTAGACACTTTCCGACTGCTCATAAAGGAGTGCAAAGCTCCATTCACCATGTTTCCTGCATTCACTCTTCTTTCGATATCACTCTCACACTTTCCATCTCTTGTAAACTTTACCCCAGATACACAAATTCTTTCACCTGTTCAATTTGTTCATCTTCAATCACGATATTGCAGTCTGTCACTGCCTCATCTTTTTCAAACACCATCACTTTCGTCTTCTTTACATTCATTTTCATTCCCTTTCTAACAAAAGCTCCACTCATAACAGTTACCATCTCCTGCAACTCCTCGGCCGAAGACGCAAGTAATACTTGGTCATCAGCATAGAGAAAACGTTTGACGAGTAACTCATTCATTCTCAACCCACTTTCATTCTCTTTTAAATCTGTCATACAATTGTCCATGAACAGATTAAACAGCCACGGTGACGCTACACATCCCTGTCTAACATCTTTTCCGATATTAAACCATTCAGTGTATGCCCCGTATTATCCTTACACAAGCACTAGAATCCCTATAAAGAGATTGCAATGCTCGTATGAGGACACTGCTCACACCGTTCATGGACAGTGCTGACACAAATTCATTCCTCACCACTCTATCATAGGCCTTTTCTAGATCTACGAAGGCGCAGTAGACTTTCTTGTTTTTAGCCAAACACTTTTCGGCTATGCACCGCAAGGAAAAGACCTGATCCTGTCCTGTCTAGCACTTTCTACTTCAGTCTTTCATCCACAATTACAAAATCAATCATACTTCTAGACTCGCCCTCATCTCTTGTATACAGATGGATCTTTTTGTGGTCAAACATTGTATTGGTCACGCACTGATTCCATTCCAAGCATACTTCAAGCAGGCTTCTCCCATTGTTATTCACACTCTCGTCCCCAAACATACCCAGAACTCTTTCATACCCATCACGCTTTACTCCAACCCATCCATTAAAGTCCCCTAACATCACGATCCGTTCATTCTCTCCGCATTTATTCAAGACCTCTCTCATGCTATCTCAAAATTCCTCTTTCTCTTGTTGCGATTTTAGTGACTCACCTCCACGCAGCTCCGTCGGTGCATAGACCGCAAGGATAAACAAGTGGGTGAGTCCGACTTTTAACCTAATCCAGAGGAGTCTTGGGCTTACACATTCATGCTCCATCACACATTCAACCATTCGAGATGAAAGAATCACACCAAATCCCTGACAGCCTCGGCTGGTTTGGGGGACTCCCGACCAGTATGCCGTGTAGGGGCCATGAACCGTGGTGTCACATCCTTTCCTCTTGGTTTCGTTCACGCAAAGAATATCAATGCAACGTTTATCCATCATCTGACTTCATCTACCTTACCATCCATCCCTCCTCTTACATTCAACGTAGCGAAGCGGCTCTCCGTGGGCCGCTTTTCGCCCCCGCGAGAAACGAGACGTGATGGGTGGCGAACCACATCGCCGCCATTTTGGTTAATTTTTTGATTATCCATTGCGTTCCCACGAATAGCGAAGGAAAGGTTTGTCCCCCCAGCAGAGCCCCGCATGCCAGGGTAAGGCTAGCCTAATTCTGGGGTCGCCCGGTCCCAGGGCAGTGTGGCACGCTAACGACTAGGCTCGCCCCTAGCCATGCATCCATCCGCGCGGCCGACGTTGGATTGGCGGAGGGTAGGAATAGGAAAACGGGAAGGATAGGTGGTGTGAAAAGGAAGAGTAAGGTAAGTTAGGGTAGGAAATAGGAAATGTAGGACATTACCGTCCATGAGGGCAAGGTATAGGACAGTAATAGCTAGGGTAGCCGGGGTCGCATACCCGTATACCATACCACAACTACCGGACAGGTAAATTGGGATGAGTATCCCTCGACTAACTGTATTATAGAGGACTGTATTATAGAGGTATTCTATAGATTAATACGTAAACGTTACTGATCAAAAGTTTACTTCTGAATTTAAGCCTTTATAGTGTAATAAATAAAAAAACGACTTTCAATAAGCTTTATGCAATAATCTATATTGAATAAAAACTATTAATTTCATTTCATTTCATTTCATAGATTACCCGATAGCGGATAATTGCCATAACTGCCACACGGCAGGCGGATTGGCAAACATAGTTTTTTATTTTTTAGTTGCTATAAGGAAGACGCTGCTGCCCATCTCTTGGTTTGTTTTCCTCTGCTGCCACTTACTATACGTTGCGATATAGAGTAGTGAATATATTCTTATACCACCACAACACGCTAGATTAATACGATGGCCTTGAAAATGTCTATTTACTAAATTCATATATAAATAATACCAAACAATTGAAGTGTGCTTTGTCAGTCACGGCAATAATTTAACCATCGGCGTTAAAACAATATTTAGTGAAATAATATTTCTAAGAATAGGAGTCAATGTAAATCCCTTCCCCATCCCCGTTTAGCGACGATAAGACGCTTCTGTATATTTGTAGCGTTTAAAAAGCATAAAATTAAAGATTTATGATTTATTAAGTTGGCTATCCCCAGTTGTAGATGTTTTAAATAGTATTGAAGTAACGTAAAATGTAAATTAAAAACCTATAAACTTGCCACTACTCGAATACGTCTTGTTCTGAGGTCTTATAGGGCTTGAAAATAATATGCTGCTCTACTCTACCATGGGTTGGAAGACTGTCTAGATCCTGGATATAATTTTAATCCCTCAGATATTAAGTTACCTACCATCGTGGTCCAATTACGTGAAAAGGTAGTATTTGAAATTGCATGTAGTATCGGCAAAAGAATTCAACCTACAATTATAAGTGTTAAGGGGAAATATAACCTCAAATGGCTTAGCAAGATCCTCCGTTATGCCGAAAATATTGCAGCATTAATTTTGAAATAAATATATGGTAAAGTTGAGGATTAATGTTAAGGACTATGTTAGACGAAAACACGATTCCGTAAAATTTACTCGATAGAAAAAAAGTTACCTCCAAAATAAACAACAAACCGCTGTTATTCATAAAATACTTTAAATAAGGTCATGAAACTTTGCATACTAACTGAACTTTATTTGTTATTTACTTTTTTTTAAAATACCACTATTTTGACTGTAAAAAAATTACCTAAACTATCGGCATCTTGAAGCTCGATTCCTGCCGCCCGGTCAGCTTCGCTTCGGCCTTTGAAGGGGGAGGATGTGTCGCTTACGATCAGAATACACATTACGCAACACAGGACGACGTAAAATTAAAATGGGAAATAACCATAATAAAAATAAGAAGCGACTAGGTTGGCGTTAAGAAATAGGCATAAATATGATAAAGCTAATGAAATAAGTATCTAACGACCTATCTACTTACAGTATTAGTGATTACAAACATGTCGGTACATAGCATACGACGCGCGGGGAAGTGGGGGCCAAATTAGAATACTACATGGGTGGTACTATGTATTTTTTTAAAGTCCACCCCGTGGTAAAAAAGTAGATAACATTCTAGGTGTAACGTTGAATTTGTGATAATTCTTCAGACCACTCAAAAGGGTAAAAAACTTTTATTAAAAAAGTGAAAATCGACTTCAAAAACTAAATATAATGCAATAACTTGCACGTAATAGCATCGTAAGTCGAGGCTTCAATTCTTTTACCTGCGAAGTCGACAACCCTAACTGTCGATTGTAGCTATCTTGCTTTTTAAACTTTATTTTTGGCGGGATAAATTTAATACAATGTGGTTTTTCGGCATATACTCGTAAATGTTAACAATGACGTAGGTTAAGCAGTATTGTCAGAACATATGGATAATCAGGCCATAAAACTAATAAGTCGTGTTTTAGCAAAAAAAATCACACAAATACGCAGTCGACAATTTCAATACTTATGGGACAATTTAATTAAAAAAAAAACACTTTTATTATTCTACCAATTCGTTTCGAAGAAAATTGGATCAATGCCACTTGGACTTTCCCAAAAGGCTACGGGCTACGACCGACTACGATATCTCTGTTCTCGTCGACTTTCCAAAGAACTTTGTTCAGTATCGCGTTAACTTTAGTGTAGGACGGATGCACGTTCGATGTGTTGACAGACTCGCGCGTATTTAAGTACGTTGTATTTATTTATTGTGGTAATAAAAAGTTATCATTGATTAGTGCATCAGAGATTATTGCCAACAATAAAATAATGATATTACAGCATATGCTACTAAAGATATTTCTAAGTTCCTATGTTTTGAACAGTGTGTGAAAAATGTTGGCAAAACATGTAAATTGGAGAAAATGTTGAAGGCGTCCCAAACGCGGTGGATGCACTTTATATCGCAGTTTTACGCTCTTTATTTAATTGGCACCAGCGGACTTATTGGTAATTTTCATGAGATATAAGCTAATGTCTGAATTTGCTAGCGATTTAGGTATATTAAAATTTACAATTATTTATACACAGCGTAGTGAGTATACTCGTATGGCAATATTTCAATTCTTTTGTCGTTTCGCCGAAAAGCTTGTGTTGGTGAAAACTGAGGATTATATTTCGGCGAAAATCCGCATATTTTTTACTAATCTACTCTTTGATATAGAAATAAATTATAAATTTAATTATCTATTTAATATAGGTCTTACAATTATTCTCTATTACTAGAAACATAAATTTTTTGTACAGGAGAAATTTAATATTTTTAGTGTTTTATTATGTGGCAAAATTTTCCTTGCTTGTGACAATAATATTAAGGATCTTAAATATGATACTTAAAATAATACTATGATAATTTTCAAATAATTTAAAAACTTCCGAAGTCGGGGTTTAATTCTTCGATATACCTATGTATGTGTATGTATACCCATGTCTTGTGTCAGTACCTATATCAGAAGCTATTTATTAAATTATATGGAAAACACTTTTTCGATCGAAGTCGATTTTATTTTTTAATTGTTAGACCGTTTTGGCCGACTTCAAAAAAAGGAGGTATTGATATCGACTGTAGGATTTTTGTATGAATATATGTTATGCGAAATCCTATTATGTGGAATTTATTTTATTCTACTTTTTATATTTTATTCCATTATATTATTACAGTTTAGGTAAAGCAGACGTAGAAAAGATGTACAATAGACGTAGGAAACATACAAATAAAAATACATTCGAATTATGAACTTCCTTTCCTTAAGTCAGCTTAAAAGGCGAGATTAGTTGCAAAAAAAAAAAAGATTATTACGTTTTCCTTTCTCGATATTTTCCGGATAAGACATTAGTTCAGTAGCAGTGGCTAAATGTTTGGTTGTTTAAGTGCGGCGCTGCTAGATTTAAACCGAGGTTCCAATCTATCATGGAAAACGAGTTTGAATAATTTTTTCACGTTTGAATGTTGTTTGTCCCTGAAAATTTTATGTATGTTAAACATCTCCATTTTGATGAAAAGTTTTAAGCTAATAAAGAAATTAAAATGGATGACCGTTAGACTAATGTTTTGATTTTGTATCTACTATTTTGTATCTTTCAGTAATGCGAAAAATATATTATTTAACATACATATTTTTGTGTATTTAGGTTTTGTACATAAATTTCTGTATACAATAATGTATGTAGACAGGTGTATAGCTCTGGACCATATTATAAATTACAATAACTCAATTTAGCTTCTGACAAACTATCCCCTTTATATTTATCGTTGTCATAAACTTCGCAGAGATGATTATTTCGTTCAAACTATGTGACATAAGGCTATTAAGGCGTCGTATGAGGGTCGTATTTTTTTTCTATAAATACAATTTAATGAACGGCACGAGATGATGCGACGTTAGCGGCATAGATACTTTGTTAGGGAGTATTTTCTATTGTGTACATAGTGAATAGTTTCGCTACACAGATGCGTGTATGGGATAAATTTGATAGCGTTTACACGTGAACACTAGCAAATGATCATTTTGTTTTATTTTTAAACATGATTTTTTGCAAAAGTCTTGATGTTTTATAATATTAAATCCTATATATTCTTTTCTTGTTTTTTTTAAACATGATGTAAGCTTATTAAAAAAAATTCCGCTGGTTTCTTGCTGGTTCTTCGAAGTTTTTTTGCGAACCAGTGGTATATATATATATATATATATATATATTATATAGTTCTTTATATATATAATCGGAATCTCGGAAACGGCTCCAACGATTTTCATAAAATTTTGTGTGCAGGGCAGCAGGGAGTTTCGGGGGCAATAAATCGATCTAGCTAGGATTTATTTTTAGAAAATGTCTTTTTGTCCGTGTTTTTAGGCAATGAAAAACTACTACAATATCGTTAGAATAAGAAGGTAAATTTTGACAGTTTATTAATGATTACAAATAGGTTAATTGGTATATTGGGCGGTCACAAAATCGTAATACCATGGTTCGAGCCCGGACCGACTGACTGACTTTTTTAATTTTTTTTTCAAGTTCCTTTTTTTTTGAGAAAATCTATTTTTTCGAGCCCTTTTTTTAGAATTTTTTAATAACATGAAAATTTAAATTAAACTAATTGCACTCATGATTTTTTTATTCAAATAACCAGTTCAGTTTTTTCTATTATGTCGCTAAGATCAAAAAATATTATTCGTATTTCATCAGTATGTAATTTGTATCTAAATATAATTTCCAAAACACACGAATTAAAAAAAAAAAAAAGCGAAAAATACCGAGCAAAGCTCGGTCAACCGGGTACTTGTAGTTAGTATGAAATAAATGTAAGTAGAATCAAGTGGAGATTTTCTTAACATAATTTATAAGAATAGATTTATTTTTATAGAATAAGGGTGACAAACGAACACACAGTCCACCTGATGGTAAGTGAGTGTTGTGGCCTATAGACATCATCTACATTTATCTTCGATTAGGAATCAATATGCAGTTGTGTTATCACCCCTGAGGACTGAGATGCAATGCCTTAGTAAAAATGATTCCCGGTTCTCTATACTCACCATACGAAACACATACAAACACATTATGCTGCTATTTTACGCTGGTATTCTGTGAGAGCGTGGTCCTACCACGGTCAAGCCGACCCATTCGTGCTGCAACCACAATATAGCAGTATGACTCTACCACGTAAAAAAAAACAGTATTAATAAAGAAGAATAAGAATTATAAAGAATAATCTAAAATTAGTTTTCGTAGACCTATATTTTTCCTTTCGTAACCTGGACCACGCGTATCTTATATGTCAATTTCGTTTTAGATTAAATTATATAACAAAAATTCAGTTAAGCCCGGATCAGTAGTATCTATAATAGAAAAAAACCAAGAAAGTGTTCTTTCTTCAACCTTGTTGTTGTTTGCATTTAAAAGAACATACCGTATGGAAACTGATATTTTTTCGTTATTTGGTATACCCAGCGTTGTATAGACAAATCTTTGAAGTAATGATTACGAGCTAGCGTATTCTTAGGTAGATCCGTGGTAGCTCAAATGATTAGCGTTCGCTATAAGTTACACACTACCTGCGCGAGAACCCGGGATTGAACCCGGTTTGGGTTCAATCCTAGACGGCATCAAAGAAATTGTTAATTGCATTCTTAAGTGCTGATTTACCACGTGCTCAGCGGTGAAGGAAAATACCGTGAGGAAACCTGCATGTCGGAGAAATAAGAAAAAAAATTCGAAGACCAGCCAGCGCGGCGGACACTTCCTTGCCTTAATACCCTCTCAGAAATGAGGGGAGACCTGTGCCCAGCAGTGGGATGTATATAGGCTGTAACTTTAACTTTAAATTTTATCAATCTTAGGTATGTTTATGTTAAGTTCTGGATTTAAAAAGACTGTCGATGTGATACCATCATTTGTGGCTACTCGAACCTCGCTAGTTAGCAGGATGCACTATGCACTATATGCAGATGAGAGCATTTAAAATCTGGACAACTCTGTTATATTACGGATGTCGTTGGTATTAAAAACATAGGAGTATGTTTATAACAAACATTAGATCGTGACGTGTCGTGTGACGTCACATAAGGAATCTAAATATTTCATTTTTATTGATTTGGTTATCCTGACCCACTTTTTCAGTGATTGGTGGATATAATACAATCGTGTAATTATGGTGGCAATCACTCCGCAACTAAGTTATGTTTTTAACACGCTCATTTTAGCTTGACCTGTATGTATGTATGTATATGTGCATAAATGCATGTATGTAGGGATGCATTTATATAATATGTATGTTTGTTTATAACGTGTGAATAACTCCTGGAAGATTTCAGGAAATTTTCCATTCGTATTAAGAGCCAATAAAAATGTAACTATTCCGTGATTATGGTTATATATGTTATTATTTACATTATTTACATTAGGATCATCACAGAATATCTTAATTTTATTTCGTCATGATGATATTTTGTAACTTAAGATATTAATTTAAAAATGATATCGATCTTTCATTATATAAATATTCATTCATCATTCATTATATTGATATATTTTATTAAAAAGATAAAAGATGTAAATTTAATGAAACCAAATGTCAAAGGACAAAATGAAGTTGCTCATAATTCCCACCAGAGTTACATAATAACACTGCAGATGGTGTGCATTGTGCCGCTAATAGATACGGAATAAGACATACACCTATATCGGCTTATATACATTATTGCACAAAGTCTCGCTGGCGGGTTTTCGAACTCAACTCAAGGTTTGCTAATCTGATTAATAATATTCGGAGTTCAGATACTTCAACTGATATAAATGCACCTAGCTTAAGAAAAATATAGTTGTCAATATTATTATTATTATTGTCGATATAGTTGCCGCTATCGATATTTAAAAAAAAGGCTTCGTAGCTTCTCGACGGTCAAAGCATACTATAGCGTAACAGAATTCTTGACTGAATTTTTTTATTATTTTGAGATTAAGACTGTATAATGTTAAAAAATTCAATTATGTTTGTTTTTGTGTTATTATTTTATTTTGTTATAGCTGTTTAGGTGATTATTTTATATTTCTGTATATTTTGCATGCCTACCGGTAAAATATGGCTGAATTCACTACCCATATTACCATGTACTGTACCCATATTTGCAAAATAAAATATCTTTAGCTTTATCTTTATCGAACACACAAACGAATATGTATAAAAATATGTAAGATAACATCAAAGTGAAACTTTTTATACTTGGTAGAGCCAACCTGTAGCTATGTTATAGTGGTCCGCTCAAAAAGAACCACGCTCTCACAGAATACCAACAGCGTAAAATAACAGTTTAATGCTACTATGTTTCGGATGTGGTGAGTGTAAAGAACCGGAGACCCTTTTTTACTGGAAACCGGGTATTTCATCTTGGTCCTCAAGGGTGACGACGCACCTGCATTTTCATTCTTAATTGGGCATAGATGTTGTACCC